TCACCAGAGACTGGAGTGTTTAAATTTCATGGTGCAGGAGCCACAGGTAGAAGACCTCAGAGAGACCACGGGTGACCAAGCACATGTTGATCACTTTCGCTGAGAGGACCCCAGTCACCAAGCCCCGTTGACACCACCAATCATCCTGCTCACAAGCGACACTCCCCGTTTACACATGCATTTTTCCCGTGCCCCAACAGCACAGAACCACGCCAAAGCACCTTCTACCAAAGCCGCGCCAACTGATGATGATGATGATGATGATGATGATGATGATGATGATGATGTTGATCTTGATGCTCAAAGTCATATTTGAGGAACTACTACGTCGACTACAATGCCTGAGACAGATGAACCGCAATCAAGAGGTGGCCAAGAAACTTCTTCAGGTGAAATATCTTCAACTCAGCGACGAGGAGAACTTCACCTTCCCACGCCTAAATCAGAATGCGGAGGCTCAGCAAATGGTGGCCCAAGAGGCCGCACTAGTGCCACTGCTCCAGGTCATTCAGGCCATTCAGAGGATCCTCTCACTCAACACAGTTGGGTGATCAGATTTGGAGCACTCAGGCCCAATGCCCAGATCCAGAAAGTGGCCACACAGGGACAGCCAACGGGACCATTGCCATTCCTTGGCGCCTGACACTGGCTCTGATCCACGAGCACGGACATTGGAACCATCTGCCACTTGGGGGTCTGGCAAGTGCCAGGAAACCTCCAACGGCAGCCACTTGCCCAACAGCCACTTGCAACGACACCTCCTCGAGACCAAGTGAGCGCTCAAGTGACGTCCAAGAGCACCGCTCAGGGCATTGATCAGTCCCAGTACTGCTGAACCACGAAGACCCGTGGGCCTGCTCGGAAGCATTAGCTGAGGAGTCCATGCAAAGGTTTGCGACACTGGAGGATCAAAAGCCCTGTGCCTGTTTTCCTTACCACCGCACAGATTTTCTGACAATTTTGAGGATCATGAATGCTCACGCCATAGACAATGAGCAATGCTGCGTGTGCTATGGCGTGACTTTCAGCGTGCCAGAGCTGCAGAAACAATGCAGCTCGGCATGCGTTTGGACACGCTGGCCTTAAACCACACCTGGTGTGCAGGAGGGACCCCTGAACTCAGATCCACGCCAATTTCGCTGCCGGAGTGCGTCTAGAAAGAAAGAAAGAAAGACAGAAAGAAAGAAAGGAAGGAAGCAAGCAAGCAAGGAAGGAAGGAAGGAAAAAAAAGGATGATGATGATGATGATGATGATGATGAGGATGAGGATGAGGATGACGATGACGATGACGATGACGATGAAGAAAATGATAGTGCTGGTAATGTCGGTGTGTTGTAGCAGTTGCACCATCTGCATCTCTACACCTGCATGTTGATGAGGAGGAGGAGGAGGAGGAGGACGATGACGATGACGATGACGCTGACGATGGTTAGACAGCTGAAGTTGGTAGACGTTCTGAGAAGAACCCTTCGCAGGTGCTTTCGGAAAAAGACTGGAATAGCAAATGGCGCAATAGCACCTTCCAAAGACTACACCAGTTCACAGTGAGGGCCTTCAAGTAACTTCATGTCCCAAATCTTTGGATAACTCGCGGTTGAAGAAACGAGGCTTTCGAAGGAAAACATTGTGGGGATGCGAAATCAAGCAACTTCATGTATGTTCCGTCGATCCCGGTGTCAAGTTCCGTTCTTTTATTGCCACCGGCGTGAAGCAAGTAGCCTCCAGTGTCTCTTTCGTCTCGGAGTCTCGGTCAAGTCAGTGATCTTTTGAGGACAGTCAGTTTTTGACAGGACAGCGGTCGGTCAAATGCTCCTCTGTGTAAGGGGTGTAATGCCAGGAGCTACGTTCGTAACTATAGCGATGCCCCTTGTTCCTAGTAGCTTCTTGTTACTAGTAGTAATGGGGGTGTGTATTCAATTTGGGTGGACCACCAGCCGGCTGACTGGCGTACTTGTCCCTTTCCCTGGCAAATTTCTGGGGATCTCATATGGTCTTCTTTAGTACACTCTTTCAATGAGCCCTGAAGGCACCCCGACGGTCCTCGATAGAAGGCTAACAAAAGTTGCCCAAGCAAAGCCCTGCATCTTGCTGAAGTTTACATCAAGCTGCAACATAGAAAAACAAAATGCCTCATGTGAAGCGTGCATGACTCCATCACACATCCTCAATCTGTCAGGTTGTCTCCAGAACAAAAGCCTGGAATTTATACTACCAAACCAAGATCACTGGCTGGATCGTTTTCTAGCGACGAAAAGTACCTTGATAAGGCAAAAAGAAACCAACGTTAGCCAACCAGAAATCCACGGGGTGCAAAGAAACCAGTTTACTCTGAGACAAATCCTTTTCCGACACGAATCGAGTCTTGGCGAGCTCCAGCGAATCTTCACCGGGAGGACATGAGGCCGGTCCGGGCACCGGTTACATCAGTCCGAACAGGTAGACTCAGCAAGTCCGGTCTAGGCAAATCGATGGCTTTGGTGTTTGGGTCCGAACAAACACCCTGATGGTTCTTGGACCCGTCTGAGAATAATTGGAAATCATATGTCAAAGGTGGGCTTGTGAAAAAACACTGTTCACGACGCAAATTAGGCGTCCCTTCCCAGGCGTGCTCCAAATCCACACTTTCAAAGCTTGTTCTAGAGTCGAAGTGACATGCCTCCGTACCCACGACATGCACTGTCTGACTTCCCCCATGGTTATTCCATAATTTGGTCCTTTTCGACAGAAGACAAGCACGTGCAGGACACATCCACAACCCTAGAGTAAAACGTTTGCTCCTCTGGGAGTGTCTATCGATCTATTCCCGACTAGCGAAGGATGCTTGTATTCCAATTTGCTTACTTTTCTCCCCTATATAGGCTTCCGAGCATGGCCACTCACATGAGTCACATGTCTTGTTGAAGGCTTTGGAGAGTGCGTTCGGTGCCAGCATGGACACAGCGAAAGGTCAATTGTCCATCCCATGATGAAGCGCAAAATGGAAGAGCAGTGAGGAATGGGTGCCCACATAAACCCAAGTTGTGTGTTATTTTGCGATCATGCCAAAAGTATATTCTTGTAGGCCCATCTTTCGCATCTTTTCCATGCCTACGAATATAGTACAATTCCCTGTAAATACCTCCTTGGCAAGAGATGAACGAGCTCTGTAGGAACTTCCGTGCTATCAAGAATAGAATAGAAAAAATTAAGTTGTCCACCAAGACCAAGCCCATTTGCACTGCGCTGCTGGCCGAAAGGCAAATCACAGCCTCCAACTTCCAGTGGGGGGCATGGGCAGGCTGCTACTCATAGCAACACGATTTTTCACCCATCGACCTATGCCGTTTCTTGAGCTTTGCAGCGTCCAGTCCTCACCATAAATCCACCTGCTAGACGTCAGCAAATGGAGGAAACACTGACACGAGGTCAACAAGGCAACGGGGTGTTTCCCGATTCTCCTGTTGGCCTGTTGACCCACCAGTCTTGCTCTGTGCCCTGTACTTCTTTAAAAGCACCCATTCTGAGCGATGCGAATTTGGATCCGCAAAAGAGATTTCTTCTCTTAACACCATTCAGGATGGGTTGCGACTTCTTCCGATCAGATCGATCAGCCTACTGTCTGCCGTGAGAAGATGTCGCGTGTTCACCTTGTCTCATCTCAGCGCCAATCTCCCCAATAATTTGCACGCGCTTCCTGCGGTGTGGGAATGATTCAACGAGTTGGTACGTATATAGTATATTGATGACCTAGTAGCGTCCTTGTTCCTAGTAGTAAGGCCAGGAGCCCCTAGTAGCGTCCTTGTTCCTAGTAGCGATGCCAGGAGACCCTAGTAGCGTCCTTGTTCCTAGTAGCGATGCCAGGAGCCCCTAGTAGCGTCCTTGTTCCTAGTAGCGATGCCAGCAGACCCTAGTAGCGTCCTTGTTCCTAGTAGCGATGCCCTTTGCTCCTAGTAGCAAACATTGCTCCTAGTAGTCACCAATGCTCACATGGCCTTTACGGATTCACCATTGACCCACCTGTCGCAAAATTTCCATCTACACACGTCTAGCCGATCATTGGAGCTAGCGGACCAATCCTTGCAGCGGGTTTCTTTTTGACATATGTCATGTTCTTATGTAGTCTATTCAATGTGTCTTTTGAATGCTCTTTGTGTCTGTCTTTCTGTTTTGTTTTCTTCGTGTATGTCCTTATTTTTGCTATTCTGTTATTCTTTCCTTCTGTCCGTGTGTGTATTTTTTCTTTTCTGTTTTTTTTAATTGTATTTATTCAGCTCCTTCTATCTTTTGCCTGTCGTTCCTTCTGTTGTCTTGCTTTCTTCCTGTTTGTCTGTTTTTTTTGTGTTTGTGTTTCTTCTTTATGGTTGTTTTCTTTCCTATTTGTTTCTTTTGTTCC